TAACTAGTCACATATGACCCGTGAAACATGTTTCTAAAAAATCCTTCTAACAATAAACACTCTACCACACCAGATGTGATTAGTGAAGGTTACACCAGATGTGATTAGTGAAGGTTGCGAAGGAAGAGCAGAACTGAAGATGTAGCAACAGAAACTACGTAAGATCACACACACACAGTCATGCACGCTCTCTCTCTCTCTCTCTCTCTCTCTCTCTCTCTCTCTCTCTCTCTCTCTCTCTCTCTCTCTCTCTCTCTCACACACACACACACACACAGACCCCCTCCCTCAACCTTGTATGCACACACAGGTGAAGCAGACAACACAATACCCAACAAAGCAAAACAAAATAACCCAAATCGAAATGAAAATAAAGGAACAACTTAACAACTTAAACCTCAGAGTCACTTCTAATAGTCTAAGACCAGCTCCTGAGATTGTGGGAGTAACATGGCTGAACACGAGATTTGCAAAAAAAAGAAAGAAAGAAAAAAAGCAAGAAAGGGAAAAGAATCTGGCCACAGTAATTGTTTTCTGAATGTGCCACAACCAAAGCCCGATTTACAGTCACGGTAAGAAGCCGGATGTTTCAGGAGATACTCGACTATGCAGCATCACTCTCCATCACTGCAGGCTCAGTCCGGACACACGACAGGCACACTTTGCCCTGTACAATCCTTACATAACAACCAGCCACCAACAACGTCTGAAACTGGATAACCACAGTTAACAATGGAGTGTTGGGAACTGCAATGTGTTTACTGTGTCTCCTCTTACAGAAGGGTAGTGGAGTACAGAGACTTCTAATATTTTCCTACCATGATTCCTGTGTAAGTATCAAACCAGTGCATCCTAGGGTTGTATTGTGTTAGAGCATTTGACTTTAAAAACTACTGTTGAGTTGTTGGCTTGAGTTTCATAAAAAGCATTTCAGCACTTGGGGTTAGGACCACATTTCCAACAATTCCTCAAATGACCCTAGACATACTTCTGCCATTTTCATCCCATAGTTGTGTGAAACAGTGTTCTCAGTCCTGACAATTATAAAATCAAAATATTAATCAACTATGGAAAATGTTGAAGAGTCTCTATATCTTTCAGTGTCTACTACTCAGCCCAGACTAAATTCTATATGCAAAAATAAAGAAACATATCCATCACATTGATAGACAAATTACTTTTATCTTTAAAAATGATGAAAAAGTGTATAACAAATAATTGTATTAAAATAAAATTCTATATGTTTTGCTATCAATAATCTCTATGCCTATTTTATATACCCAGATATCTGGAGTCAGAAAAACAAAACAAAACAAAAACCAAACGAACAAAAAAACAAACAAGTCTCAGCCGGGTGGTGGCACATACCTTTAATGCTAGCTCTTAGGAGTTAGAGACAGGTGGATTTCTGTGAGTTTGAGGCCAGCATGGTCTACAGAGGGAGTTCCAGGACATGCTCCAGAGCTATTGAGAAACCCTCTCTCGAAAAAAACAAAACAATACAAAACAAACAAACAAACAAAAAACAGGTCACAAGGAAATTATTGGTCACCCAGCTCAGCCAAATTGGTGAGTTCCATGTCCTAAGGAGAAACTGTGTCTCGAAATGCAAGGTGGATGGTTCCTGAAGAAAGACATCCAAGATTGACCTCTGATCTCCAAATGCACACATATGCACTAGCATTAGCACACATATGACCAACATATACCTAAACACACACATATACCTTACCTCTCCATATACACCCCTTTCTAAATTTAATATAAATAATAAACCTAAAAACCCAAGACATTTAAGTCACAGGAAACACTAAGAAGTTGTATCAAAGTATGTTACAATCAAACTGCCTAGAGTGGAAATGTGGAAAGGCAGCAAGAGAAAAAAGACACGTTGCACACTGAATCACAGTCACTTGTGTGACACACTGAGCCACAGACACTCATGTAACACACTGGACCACAGACACTCATGTGACACACTGAACCACAGACACTCATGTGACACACTGAACCACAGACACGCGTGTGACACACTGAACCACAGACACTCATGTGACACACTGAACCACAGACACTCATGTGACACACTGAACCACAGACACTCATGTGACACACTGAACCACAGACACTCATGTGACACACTGAACCACAGACACGCGTGTGACACACTGAACCACAGACACTCATGTGACACACTGAACCACAGACACTCATGTGACACACTGAACCACAGACACTCGTGTGACACACTGAACCACAGACACGCGTGTGACACACTGAACCACAGACACGCGTGTGACACACTGAACCACAGACACTCGTGTGACACACTGAACCACAGACACTCATGTGACACACTGAACCACAGACACTCATGTGACACACTGAACCACAGACACTCATGTGACACACTGAACCACAGACACTCATGTGACACACTGAACCACAGACACTCATGTGACACACTGAACCACAGACACTCATGTGACACACTGAACCACAGACACTCATGTGACACACTGAACCACAGACACGCGTGTGACACACTGAACCACAGACACTCGTGTGACACACTGAACCACAGACACTCATGTGACACACTGAACCACAGACACTCATGTGACACACTGAACCACAGACACGCGTGTGACACACTGAACCACAGACACGCGTGTGACACACTGAACCACAGACACTCGTGTGACACACTGAACCACAGACACTCATGTGACACACTGAACCACAGACACTCATGTGACACACTGAACCACAGACACTCATGTGACACACTGAACCACAGACACTCATGTGACACACTGAACCACAGACACTCATGTGACACACTGAACCACAGACACTCATGTGACACACTGAACCACAGACACTGGAGGGACACACTGAACCACAGACACTCGTGTGACACACTGAACCACAGACACTCGTGTGACACACTGAACCACAGACACTCATGTGACACACTGAACCACAGACGACTCAGCAGTGACACAAGTGGAATCCAAACAAATCACTGTCTCCTTAGAAATGAAAAACTGCCAAGGTTCACTTTATATCCTGTGAACTCTCCTTTAAAAACTGAAGACAGACTGGCGGTGGTGGCGCCCGCCTTTTTCCAAGCACTCAGGATGCAGAGGCAGGTGGATCTCTGCCTGGTCTAGAGTGAGTGAGTTCCTGGACAGCCAGGGCTATAGAGAGAAACCTTGTCTCAAACAACAACAACAAAAACCCCAAACAAACAAACAAACAAAAACACTGTAGCTAAGAGAATAAATCACTAACAGATTGTCACACATCAGAGAATGTTACTCAGTGTATTTCAGGAAGAAGAAAGATGGAGTCAGGCAACAGAAATGGAGGCTCCACTGATAAATGTTTTTATAGCATTTTTATATTTTTTGAAGGCGATCAAAAGTTCATACAAAGTATTGATGTCCCCAGCACCTACACAGCAGCCAAAATTGAGGCTTGCTGGAAATCTCCTACACCGACAGGTAGGGGGGGGGGTCTTACACCATTCGTGAGATGTATACTGTAAACTCTAAGCGATTATAAAAATAACAAAATAAAGATTCAGAGCCAATCCAACAAAGGAGGTAAAATGAAATCATAAAACACTCAATAAAAGTCTGGGGAGACTGTAAATCCCTTGCCAGGCATGCACTAAGCCTCAGAAGTCACAGAGAGTCTGGCACAGTTGCCCGTGTAATTCCAGTGCTTGTATGAGATGTTAGGTAGCGTAGCTGGGGACTGAAGGGCAAGCGTGCCTAGCAGATACAGGGTGGTGAATACTGTCTCAGAGAAGGTAGAAGGTGAGCGTCAGTCCCCAAGGCTGTCCTCCGACATAGCATACGTGCTATGGCAGGCATGAGCTGTCTTTCACACACATTCAGATACATGAATCTCACCCCCCCCAATTCGAAAGAAGTCAGAAAAAGTAAAACTAATAGGAGGTGACAGATTTGCACCCAGTCCTGTAATTAATCATAGTATATGCAAACAGAACAAATACCCAGTTTATGAGGCCCGTGAGACGGCTCAGGATAGACTTCGAGTTTTATCCATGACTTATGTAAAAAGGGAGAGAGCAGACCCCAGCCCTGAAAGCCGCCTTCTGACCTCCATATGTGTGCCGTGGCATGTGCAACCCAGCACCTCAGCACACACAATACAAATAAATAAAAGAAAAAGAGCCTGTGCTGCACAGCAAGACTGTCTCAAAACCCAACCAACCACCCCACCCCCCAGGCCCATACCCACACCATACAAGATGGAAGCAAAGCAAACCAAAGTTTGGGCAGGCAGTTCAACCTGGCTGCTACACCTCAACCTGGATCGTCCCCTGCCTCTCAAACCTGTCCCTCAATGAATACATCCCCTGCTATCCCATGGGTAAAGAGAACTGAACCACAGAGAGAGCACTTGGGGTTGAGCTGCCAGCTCTGTTTCCGTGGGGCTCAGGTGGGAGAGGGATGGGCAGGTGGATAGGGACTGGGGCTGCGCTCTGAATTATGGTAAATGCTAAAATGAAGAGGCTTCTCACACCCATCTTTCTCGCTCATTCCACATGGAGCCTCAGCTGCCTTTGAAGCACTGACGGAGTGGAGGTGTGGCCATCAGCTTACCATACAGCTTGAGAAGAAGGGCTGGGGAGGGGTGGCCTGGGGAGGGGTCAGCTGGGGAGGGGTGGGCTGGGGAGGGATGGGCTGGGAAGCAGTTGTCTGGGTTGGAGAGAGGTGGTGGACAAGGGGTGGGTTGGGGAGGGGTGGGCTGCAGAGGGGTGGGCTGCAGAGGGGTGGGTTGGGGAGCAGTGGGCAGGGCTGGGGAGGGGTGAGCTGGGGACAGATGAGCTGGGGAGGGGTGGGTTGGGAAGTGGATCGCAGAGACAGATTACATTCTTTCTCTTTAGTTTGGAAGTGAAAAGGCAGACAAGGCCATATCGGAGTCGTCGGGGAATATTCCATGAACACAAACAAGCCCCTTACCTTGTGTACACAGGCCTTTGCATTCAGGAAAAACAGTTCCACCGTGTTCTTATCCTTTAGAAAGGATATGCTCTCGATGTAGAACCTGAAAGACAGTACAGAAGTTTGTTTCTTTAGGCTTAATTTCCTTCTCTCAGTATGATTTCATTTCCTCAAAGACAACATTAAAAGTCCCTGTGGCTGTGCTTTTGTTTCTCCGTGGCCGCAGCCCGCCACCTCAGCGCTCACATACAAACCTGCAGATGGAATTGCCTACAGAGCGTAACTGTGTGTAGGATGTGAGTTAAAGGGAGACTCAACATGACCCCCCCGAAACACTGTGTGTCTTATTCCCTGCCCCATGTGCTGGGAGGGAGCTCAGAAAGCCTCATGCGTCTTCAGCACAGAAGCCAGGTAAAAGCCCAGAGCCAAAAGCATCAGTGACTGACTGAGCAAGCGGGGCGTATCCAAACCTTAAGGCATGCTGCTGGCCCAGTGGTTCTCAGAGTTGGGGTGGGTGGGGGGCTCCAGGCCCACCTTACACCACCTCATGGTTACAGTTAGGCCCCGTCCCTTCTCTTAGAAAGGAGGAGGAGTTAGTTTCCCTTGGCTGGAAGCCAAGTTCCCCATAGCTATTAATGTTGGTCTTTTCTCATGCAAATTAGGGGCTTCTGGGCCCCAGTCCTCAGGCCCTCTCTAAGATTTTCCTAGTACACTTTGTGAGCCTACAGATCCAAAGTTCCTTTTTGATCAGGGGAGCTCTGACAGCTTTGTGGTGGGAAGGGAGGGAAACTGAGTGTGTTAGCCTGTTTTCACCCCCCCACCTGGCTGAAGCTGGCCAGAGAGGTCTGGCACTCTGTGCTGAGTCTCTGTGGTTTTTGAGTTCTCGGACCTTGTTGTTGAATAATAGTACAGGAGAGACACACACTCTCCTAGGACAGCTCACACAGCTTGCTCTCAAAAAGAACTTGCTCTCAAGCCAGTGAGAATCACAACAACCAGGGCCATGGTAGGGGATGAGTATCCCCAGGCCTGCAAAGTCACAGTGGGACTTGGGCATTCGGTCCTGTTTTCCTTCCTTGTTAATGAAATATGTGAACCATGAATGCAGCTGAAAAGGCTGTAAAAGAATTCATCGCAGAGATGAATCGCAAGGTGTTTGGAAAATGCCATCTCTGTGTGTTAACTTGTCAAGGGAGGCTTCAGCAGGAGAATAAATCTGGGATATTTTTACTTAAAAGGGTTTAGCTCACTGCTAAGTGAGATTAATGAAGGCTGGAGAGACCTGGGTTTTAAGAAGTATGAAGGCAGGAAAGGAAATAAGGGTTATAGGAAAACAGGCTTTTGAGTATGAAAAAATCTAGAACGTCAGTCACCTCTGTTGCTGATTAGGCGTATGGTCTTGAGTAAGTTACTGGGGTCTTTACCAAGGTAGGTATCATGATTGCACTTATAGTTTTGAAGAGTTGAAATTAGATACCAAGTGTAAAATGTTAAAAAAAAATAATCTTAGAATTGCTAAGAAAAGCTCTCCCCTGTTCCTTACTGATTCCCATGTAGCAGTGGTTCTCAACCTTCCTAATGCTGCAACCTTTTAATACAGTTCCAAAAGTTGTGGTGACCCCCCAACCATAAAATTATTTTTGTTGTTAGTTCATAACTGTAATTTGATTACTGTTATGAAATGTAATGTTAATATCTAATACATAGATAGTCTTAGGCACTGCTGTGAAAGGGTCATTTGACCCTCAAAGGGGGTGAGACCCACAGGTTGAGAACCACCACTGTACAGCAAAAATGAAGTCATGTGAGCTGTCTAAACTCGTCCTTGTGTATGAGGCAACACCACTGACACTGTTAGGAGGGCTCTCCTGTGATTGTGAGACAGATAACAAATGATGTGCCCTGTATAATGCCCAGTATAGTGGGAACCCAGTAAATTCTAGCTGTTGAGGCTCAACAAAACCCTACTGTCTTAAGCAGGCTTGAAGGTTGTGATGGATTTTGAACTGTATCTGTAGATCAAGAAGACACAAGATCCTGCTGAGCAAAAGAATAAATCCAGGAGATACAAACAGAGCCTTCTTTGCACAGTGTGATAAGCAGTCTCCAGAATTTGACCTTCACCAAGACAGCATTCATGATATTTTGGGTGTTCTCTCGTTGTTTTAGGTTTTTGTTTTTTGTTTTATTTATCTTGACCACAGCTCTGAGGACCAAGGTGATGAAGTGGCCTAAAAGAGAGACAGTGCTACCCAGGAGAGCCCTCTCATTGTATGAAAAGGGGCAAACTCATCACATACAAAAGGCTTCTTGGAGAGTGGGAGAGGAGGGATAAGAAGGATAAGGAAGCTGAGAGAGGCAAAAAACAGAAACCACAGGAAGTGGGAAGGGATGTGGAGGGGAGAGGAAACAGCAGGGGTTTAGGAGAGTGGCCCCATCATTGTGGTGGTGGATATCAGGGAAGGAGGACCAGAGGCTGGCTGCTGCTGTGGGGCGGAGATGGACAGCTGCCTCTAATCTCATTCAGCCAGCTGGTGGTGACCCTTGGTTTTCTACTCACTTTCTGTTTTTATGTTTGTTTGTTTTGCTTTCAAACTGGGTCTCACTGGACATGGTTGGCATGCAACTTGCTATGTAGATCAGGCTAGCCTCAAACTCACAGAGTTCTGCCTGCCTCTGCCTCTGGAGACTGGGAACAAAGGCTTGCTTATGTCACCACACCAGGCTTCTTTGTATTTTTTTTAAGTCTCTGAGTCTATCTGTGAGGTCAACCCAAGCAGGTTTTCAGTAGGAGACTAAAGGGCAGCATCAGGAACCTGACAGTTGACTGGGCTCCTGCTTGTGAGCTCAGGTGAGCTCAGGGTTCCCATGCATTCTTTGATTTAACAGTCACAATCTTAACAGCTGCTTTCATCCTTTCACAGATGCAGCCATAGAGCTTCAGAGCTCTGCTTGCAGAACAGGCTAGGTTTGACTCGGGTTCCATAGACTCTGCTAAGAATGCTGTTAACCAGATTCTCTTTCTGACCAGTAATGGCAGCCATCTCAGTTATGTTAATAACTGAGTTATATTAATAAACACAGAGAGAAACAAGAGTAGTGAGATCATAATTGTGTTAACATGTATGGACATATGTTTTGTCTATGCTTTCCGAAGAGAAAAGCCAGCACCCGTGACAACAGCTAGCGGGTGATAGATCTTAGACTAAGGTATAAGGTTGAAGGTATCCAGAAAGGAAAAGCTCTCCCAGGGCAGGGATCTCCTAGCCCTGAGTCCCCAGGTCATACCACAATCCCATTTTCCACCCCCAAATTCTACGATTCTATTCCCCTTTACCTTTTAATCTCTCATTCTGTATTCAATATATATCTACTGTCCAAAAATTTAATTTTGTAAATTGTTGAGAGAACAGCAATTTTATTGTCAACAGCAATTTCATTCGTTGTCAACAGATCATCATTCAATCAATCACCAGTGTGCATGAATTTATATATAACTAGAAATTGTTCATTTATCAAACATTGAATACCTGATTGATACCAGACATTGAGAAAGATGATAGGGGAATTAAGGACAATAATGATAGTATTGGTAATGACAATAGCAACGATTTATCTAGAACCGTCTCTGAGCCAGACACTGTGCAAGAATTCTCCATATTATTTTATCTCCATTTTTAGGTTGAAGAGAATTAGAGAAAGTAAATGCCAAATACAAATGTTCAGATCTGTCTATAGAATCGTCGACTGAGTGATGACCAGTTTGACTCAAAAGGTGTTCAACTCTATCCCACCATTCTCATTCAAAGACACTGAAGATGGACAGGCTTTCCTTCAAAGACCAATGCCATAGAGGAAAGGCAGCATATATAGCCACAAGCAACGTGCTTATGATTATGCTTGGATATGGTCACTATGAACTATTTCAGCGAGTACCTCTCCCAGAATAGCATTGTAAATGCAATGGATTTTCCCACTAACAGATTCATAACAACTCTTTCACTCTGTTTAAAATCCAATTCTCATTCAGATTTCTCCTCTGCCTCCATCATTTTTAACTTAAATTCTGTGTCTGAATCAATAGCACTGCATCGATTGGCAGTGGGAAATCACACAGGCAAAGCCAGAAGGCTACTGGATGAATATGAATGAATGAGGCTGAGCAAGGGACTACCCTGGGACGATAGGGAGAACACTCCAATGTATAGGCACGTGACCTATGTTAAACCAGACCAGTCCTTCGCTGTGGAATGTAACACTGGTAAAATGACCTACAGATAAAGGCACCTAAATTACTTGTCCTGTTGGCAGCATCCTAATGCATGCCACCTACTTCTGGTTCCTGCTCTCCATAGTCCCACCGAAACTCTGTCTCTTCTGAGTCTTTGTTAGGTTCATTTTCCTGCAATGAGTTTTCTTTCTGTGTTAGCTGCAATTGGAACCCATTTGCTGGCAACCACGGAATCTAATGAGTGCTAGCAGCAATATAACAATGCTCTTCTACAGACATCACCACACCCCGTAAAACTAGATTCAGTAGGAAGCAAATTCTGAACCCCTCCTGCAAATGAGAAGGTGGAAGAACAGAGATGTAATGTTCCCCTCTCTTGACCACAGAGCTAGGAAGTGGTGGAGCCATGATCCAAACTGAGTTGAATAGACTTCCTAGTTTATGTCCCAAACAAATGTGATGTAATTCTTTCCTATAGTAACCATCACAATGAAATACACTATGAACAGTGTCATGGGAGCTTACAAGAGGGATACAATTAACTTAACTGATTAGTAAGAGGGAGTGTGCTGCCAAAATGAAATCCATCACTTATGTGCCACAGGAGAGGGGCATTTGAGCTGAGTCTTAAAGAATGCATGAGGTCAGCAGGTGACAGTGGCAGGAAGGCCATTCCAGGCACAGGACATATCAACCTGAAAAGTTCTTGTACCAGGCTTTGAGAACTGAAGGACCCACATTGCTGGTGGCCCAGCATCAAATCGATCTGTAGCTCTTCCAGAAGTGAACAGATCCCTCCATACCAGACACTGGGCTCATCTCTGATGCCCGGACCCCTGACTGAATCCTAGTTCCAGAGATCGAGTCCTTAT